CCAGTCATGCCTTTATTCTGCAATACTGTGATACTGTAATACTATGATCATGCCCGACGGTATGCTACCCAGTAGTTGGGAATAAATATTATTTTTATTACGTTGTCTAGGTGAGTTCAGCTACCCGCTATGGCCGATGTGGTTTCCGTGTGGCCTTTTGATTAGGTTTCTTGGACCCTTAGCTTCATGCTGGTCACATGCGACAGCTAGGTTCTTTCAGCGGTCCGCTATGGTTGACGTCATGGTCATCTCAGTATATTTCCCAGGTTATAATTGAGCACCATACTGTTTAACATCAAAATTGCACGATTTTTCCGGCAATAATGAACGCGGCTTCCTCGATTATTACTCGTAGTAGCAATTATTGGAGTGGCTGCCTCGTATATTTTGCATCCACAACGGACGGGTAGGTTTTTGAAGGTTCAGCGAATTATTTCAACCGCAAAACTACCTGAAGATTCCGTCTAGTTTACGTTAGTCACCTTTCTCCTAAATTCGCGATTCCTCTATTTCATTAGGCATGAAGCGCGGGACGTCAGGAGGTCAGCGGTATTCGACGTTCGGGAAGATGTAGCGACGGCACACGTTAGTTCTGAAATGTGCAGATATACGGACTGGTATTAATGAGTCCACATGGTATACACAGCACACATTCGCACAGGTCGGGTGGGACAGAAGAGAACACCAGAGTGTAGTAGCGACGCACGTGTACTAACCCGAAACCGAAACCGGAAGACCGGGATGTACAAAGTAGGTTCAAGGTCAGTTGGGGTGGGTACAAGCGGGATACTCTTTCCTGTCCAGGGCCCGTGGTGACTCGTCCGTGGTACCTGCAATAGGGGAAGAGAGAGAGGGAGAGGCACACATAATGTCATATGATAAACATACAATCTGGTACAGTCGGGTTTCAAATGCGTTACACTGCCCCCTCCCGATTCCGAGCACTGTCCTCAGTGCTCAGGTATTTATGTCAACCGTATGGCTGACAGGGACGTTGACGGCTGGGCGTCATTACGTGTTTGGGGTATGGTTTTAACTGGTTGTAATGTATGCATTGTATATCCGTATGTGGCTGAGACGGGTTGCGGATCACATAAGTATTGTTTGGTCTCTTCATAATAATAACATAAGGCCCTTGCAACGTCGAGTGGAATTTTGCGGGTGCACCGGGCGGTGCTTTCGGGCGATGTAATAACACAGTCACCCACTTCGTACACAGGTCCGTTAGATCTGCGGTCGTAGACAGTGTTTTGGTGCTGCTGAGCATGTCCAATGTTTTCGCGGACGATTTGCAGTGCAGCGAATAGGTGTTCGCGGAGCGATCGGACGTACTCGTTACTGCCAAAGAGGTCCGCAGGGACCACGGGCGTGTCTGCGTCGGAG